CATTTTCTTTCCAAATTAAACTCCTGAAAATAAACAATTGTGTTTCTATTTTTTCAAATGTATCAGTGTATGATAGCTAAATTATTTTTTTTTTTTTAAATCTTGGGTTCTATTAAACATTTCAGATGACCCAATGCATCCTTTCCAATGCCATTAATATAAAACTGCTCTATTTAAATACATCGAATTCATTATTTCTTTATCCATGCGCCCAATTCACTGGCAGAGCACTGTGGGGTATTGATAAATCTCACAGGAGCGGTGGCTTTGTTTTCAACGAAGCACATTTCAAAGTTTCAACAACAGGAATTTATCTTAGTATTCTTAGTTTTTATTTGCGAATTTTAAATTGATTATTTGCCAAATTTAGTATATTGGGGAAAATCATTACATACAAAGGGGACAAAATGTCAGAATATTGAACATATTTGTTTTCCTGAGTTGCAGCCCTTTAAAATTGACACCACCGCGTTTACACAGACTTGGAAAGTTGAAGATTCGTAAACGGTTAGTTTAACAACTGGAAATCTGTATTTACTTAGAGCTCTGAACTCTGGCCGATACTCCAACCTCTAGATTCTGGAAGATTTTAGATGAAAAAATATGTTTTAATGTGGCGTAACAATTTCTAATTGTTCGGACACCTACATAATCAAATAGCTACAGATAGACACACATGTTGATCTCTTCCTAAGCTTCAGGTCAGCTATATTTTAGCCTCACCCAAAATTTTCATATAATCGATCTGCTTTCAAACTCAAACAATTATTATTAGTTATACATATATATATGTATTATACATATTTTTATTTGTTTATTTATATATATATACTAGCGAGAACCCGGCATACAATGCAATGAATTTCAAAGAAAAAAACTGTTTGTGTTTTAATTACGTTTTGAAGTAGTTTTTAAATAGAAATTATAGAAAAACTTGTTCCGTCTGGTGCGTACAGAAATAAATTACTGTTTTTCGACGCATGAAAGGGCCACAAAAAAGTGGCCACGTGAGCAGCATGGATTTGATCAATTTAGTCCACATACTTGTTGCGATTGATTCATCCATGCAGCATCTCGGTCTGAAATTGTATTTATAAAGCTCATATAATATTGTTTTTAAAAATAAGTCTTCCACCCCAAACGACATATTCTAAAATGGCTGTAGTAATTTAGAAACCTACCTATTATGAAACACAATCTGTAATGTCGCTTGTGTTTGATTAAATTCCATCGACTCACTCAGCGGCTCTGTTTAAATTTATATTTATATAGCTCACAAAAAAATTAAAAATAAAATTCAAAATAAGTCCTCCGACCCCAAATGCCCAATTGCAAAGTGGTTGTACTAATTTAGAAACCTAACTATTATGTAACACAATCTGAAATGTAGCTTGTGTTTTATTAAATTCTACATTCCCATGCAATAGCTCTGTTTCACATTATATGTGTACAGCTCCTATAAGATACACAAATATTTTGCTGGATTATGCACAGCAATTAACAATAAAATGTATCGAGCGTATGAAGGTACAGTCAGCATTGGTGGCAGAACAATCATCAACCTTCGCTTTGCGGACGAATTAGAAGGACTGTCTTGGAACAAAGAAGAGCTAATCAACCTGGTAAAACGTCTCGATAAGACCTCGTCGACCTACGGCATGCTAATCAGTGCCGAAAAGGCAAAACTGATGACAAATAATACCTAAAACATCACCACTGAAATTAAGGTCGGAGAGTAAAGATTAGATACTGTAGGCCTCTTCAATTACTTGGGAGCAATAGTCTCAGAAGAAGGTGCCAAGCACGAAGTGATGTCCACGATGGCGCAGACTACAACAGCACTAAAGAAACTCAAGAAAATATGGAATGACACAAATATAGCCCCAGCACCAAAATCAGGCTGATACGCTCATTATTCCTCTCCATTTTCCTGTATGCCTGCGAATCTTGGACATTAACAGCCGATCTTGAAAGGAAAAAAAAAGGCGTTGGAGATGAGATGCTTTAGAAGATTGTTTGGCATCTGCTATAAGGACCACATCTCCCATGATATAGTGAAAGAAAGGGTTCGTCAGGCAATTGGAGAGTACGATGACCTACTAGTGACTGTGAACAAAACGCAAACTACAATGGTACGATCACGTAACAAGGAACAAGGGATTGCCAAAGAAATATTGCAGGGCACAACAAGAGGAGGGAGAAGAAGAGGAAGACAAAGAAAAGGATGGGAGGATAACATCAAAGAGTGGCCTGGATTAACCCTGGGCGATGCAGATCTTAGTGCAGAAGACAGAGACGAATGGATGAGGATGGTTCACTTGTCATCTGTGGCGCCTCAACGGTCCAACGACTAAGGGACATGATGATGATGATAAGAAACATTGAGTTCCTCTTGATTTTGAAATAATCCAACGTTTTCTGTGACGCACGCTCCACAGAACCCTCCACCTATAAACATTTTTGGCACCGTCAATGTCCGGCCTACATCCCGGTGAAATGCCAATTTTTGGTTCTAATGAATAGACTGCCTAGTGGCGGAGCTGATGGTAGTGATACCGGTTCTAATGAATAGACTGCCTAGTGGCGTAGCTGATGTTAGTGATGCTGGTTGCAATGAATAGACTGCCTAGTGGCGGAGCTGATGTTAGTGACGCCGGTTCTAATGAATAGACTGCCTAGTGGCGGAGCTGATGTTAGTGATGCCGGTTCTAATGAATAGACTGCCTAGTGGCCTAGCTGATGTTAGTGATGCCATGGATGATAAAAGATGTATGCCGCTCTCCGTGTCACGATACAAACTCTGTCTGTAAATGTGATACCTTGGGGGATCACTCCAACCACCCTTTTTCTACCTAGACCTCTAGCAGTTGTGTATTTACAGTGTTTAGCGTCAAGGGACAAGATTTCTTTTGCAACCCTCCCCCCCCCCTCAACTCTGAAGCCCATTATTTTCAACCAATAATTTTCCTTCAAAGCCCACTGGCAAGCTCCTGATGATCTGGCGCCCCAGGAAGTATGTCCCATCTTCCTCCTTTTAGCTACGCCTCTGGCCGCTGCCCACAGGGACTCCCCCCCACCTCCCGAAAATATGAAATGCGCCCACCCCAGGTGGAAATGTCTGTTGGGACAGTAAAGACACACATACTTTTCTTAACATCCATTTGCTTCCAAACTCGGAAAAAATGGAGTTACTTCTAATCTCCAAATATGTAGTTGATAATATTTATATTCGTTTTTAGCTGTCATCGTTTTTATCATCACGACAGTCGCCAATGAATCTCCTCTGACAGTCTACTCGGCGGCCATGAAACTTGGATTTCGCCAGCACGTCCAGCAGTTGTGCTCCTCTCCACACTGTGTGGGTTCTTTTGTCATCTATCTCAACAGTGCGGCCTTGAATGGCGGATCAATGCTTCCTGGGATATCAATCAAAATGACATCGTTAGTACCGCAGTTCTCGGTCTCTTTCTCTCTATATATATAAATAAACACCGACATCTTGGAGTACAGACATGAATGATAGCTGTACCAAGCGGCTGACTAGAGATTCTCTTTATTAACGAGTGTATAAAATAAATAAATCATATGATTGAATTATACTTTTGGAAAACACGACGGTAATAGTAGGTATATAATATGGAACTTTCTAATTTGTCCAGAATTACATCAGGAGATTTTTTTAGAAATGTATTTAACATTTGAGTCGTTGTGTGTTTGTAGCGTGTTGTGTGTTTGTAGCGTGTTGTGTGTTTGTAGCGTGTTGTGTGGAGATATTCAAGGGTTCATTTCAGCATTTAGCTCTTTTCAATCCGGTGATTTGGGATAACTCTGTTTGTTTTATTCTTAATTAAAAATATAATAGACCCCCCCCCCCTATTTTTTAACAGCTCGTGGTGGGAATATGTCCTACTGATCAAATGATCAGTCCGAGGACTGGGAGAAACACATTTTGGACGAACAGATAGCTGGCCTCGCACGGTGTTCTGCCAAACAGATCGTGCTCCTGGTTGACCAGAGCTACCCCGGTGATATTGCCAAGGTGCTTAAAGAGTCAGTCGAGCATAACAACATGATGGTGGTCACTAACGGAAAGGAACATGAATATTTTTATACCAGTGATTTTTTTTCTTCATTTCTGGTCCAAGCAAAGTGACAAGCGTCCTTGCGTAACTGATATATTCCAGATATGTATCGTGCATTTGGAGGAAAACAAATAATCATGGACACTATTTTGTGGGCAATTATTTTATCAGGTGAAAAAAAAATTCACATTATGGGACTTTATATTTAAAGCAAATTTCAGACACAAATATAACACTGACTCTCTAATGAGCTTACAATCTAAATGCAGTGTTAAAATCTTTCTCCAGAGGATTTTAGCCCCATGTTAAAATTTGAAATTTACATTCGCTTTTAATAATCGTTTTAGAAGTTTACTTGATTTTTTTTTTACGTGTTACAGGAAAGCAGTGTTATGACAGAACATTCCATACCTTTGATGGTGAATCCTGGGAATATTCGGTAAACGCTCTCGGGAGCACAATGTGACATCAGGCCAGATTTTCCAAACGGTAACTGCGACGGGAATACTTTGGTTAACAAAATCTTTCAATGCCTGTTTTGGGCCCAGGGAAATTGATGAGAACATTCGGGACACCGTTGTTTGGGTACACGGAAATTTATTAGAACATTTTAATAGTGGGACACCGCTTTTTTGGTACAGGGAAATTTATGAGAATATTTTAATACCGAGACATCCACTGTTTGGGTAGGGGGAAATTTATCAGAACATTTTAATACAGGACACCGCTGTTTGGGTACAGGCTTATTTATGAGAGCATTTTCATACCGGACACCGTAAAGGAATATTTTGTTTGTCAATTTTGTCTAATGTGTTACTCTTTAATTAAACATCGTTGAAGTGAAGTTGATCATTTTAATATTTTATGCTAAAATAGAAGTTCTAATAGATTTATGGTACTAAGAAGAGGTAAATATTTCCTACACCCATCAAAGAGTTACCCTTATTGTTATATTAGCCACCCCTTTACCATTCTCCAGATTTGACTTTATTCTTGCACTGATTCCCTCATGAATATATTTGCATCAGATATTGTAAAATAACAAATAAAAACAATTTGCTTACTAACTCATTGGCAAGAAAATGTGCGATCATATTTATGTTTGATCGTAGAGCGCAAATTTTCAAATTATATGATACTGATACACTTTTATAAAATGTTGGTAGTAAACCTATCTGTTTCAGTGTTTGAGAGTACACAGTTATGTTTGATGCACAACTTGTTTAATACGATCTGACCTGATGTGTCAGCCTAAACCCGTTTTAAAATATTTCACACATCTTTTACTAAGGACTGAAGACAATTTATTGGAACGATTAGAAAAGCTCTGCATTTATAGGGTTGTTTAAAATAATAATAATAATAATAAAGTTCATTTCAAAAACACGCTTCATCCCCAAAGGCTCGAAGCGCGGTACAAAGTCAACAAAATACAAATCTATAATTTACCACATTTAAAACAAACGCTGCAATGACCTGTGCTATTACCTACAAGCAGCCATTACTTCCATGTCTGTGGTGTACATTTATCATGAATCAAAGTTATTTGCAATACCTGATGTTAAGAATATCGTGAAATAAAAGTTTAAAACAATCAGAACATGGAGTAAATATGAGTTTAAACAAATAATTCAAAGTAAGATAACTCAACACACAATGATTTTATCAATTAATATTTCAGATGTATTCTTTTTTTTAAATTCTAGCAAGAAACAAAAAAAAAAAAAAAGCGAAATTGTCCATTTTATTAGACATGTCTAACCATCTTGAAGCATGGTCAATAAAATGCAGTCACTATTATAGTGATAGGTCTGGAGATGGAAGTCGGCTTCTGTCCTGTGAACCGCTTCTATTCCCGTAGATTTAAATCAGCTTTGCAATATGGCGACGGTCTGCATTTTGTGATAGTGTTTAAATAGCAAGTGATCTATTTATATAGGTCAACAACAAAAAAATTACAACAGATAACAAAGATAAGTGCTGTGGCTACTGTCATGTCACCGTCGGGATTCCTTTAGCGCAGGTCAATTTTCTCGTGCAAGGTCACGTTGAGTTCGCAAGAGCAACCGGATTTAACCCGGATGTAGTCTAACGGGAAGCTCTCCGACACGTTAAAGTCTCTCAATAAGGCGTACACGTAGCTGAACCTCTGCGCACACCAAGACGCAGGTTGATATTTGTGTTTGATGTAGTGACAAGGTTGATTGAGGACATCGGCTTTGCAAAGATGTCTGGTAGAATTTTTGCATCGCGTCTTTTTTCTCGGTAGATTTCCAATAGCTTTCCGTTTCGTGAGACGCCTCCACGAAGGAGGATCAAGTGAGTTTCTGAGGGGCAGCATTCCATGCGGGCAGGTATGTCCACTCTTGCTGCCATTCCCTTGGAAGTATCTAAGAACTCCCTGGAAAGACAATAAAAAACAAACCTTTTTCAGACTTCATTATAATTTACGATATCCAGCATTGTAAGACCTTCCAATTCACTTTTGTGTCATTTGTGTGTGTGTAAGGCAAACATAAAAAAAATCTGTTAACTTAGACCCCGTCTAAATGTTCAACGCCACACCATTAAACACAATCTTAATATTCAACGCCACACCATTAGACCCAATCTTAATATTCAAAGCCGCGTCATTTAGACCCAATCTTAATATTCAACGCAACACCATTTAGACCCAATCTTAATATTCAACACCGCGCCATTTAGATCCAATCTTAATATTCAACACTGCGCCATTTAGACCCAATCTTAATATTCAACGCCACACCATTTAGATCCAATCTTTATATTCAACGCCACACCATTTAGATCCAATCTTAATATTCAACACCGCACCATTTAGACCCAATATTAATATTCAACGCCACACCATTTAGATCCAATCTTAATATTCAACACCGCGCCATTTAGACCCAATCTTAATATTCAACGCCACATCATTTAGATCCAATCTTAATATTCAACACCGTGCCATTTAGACCCAATCTTAATATTCAACGCCATACCATTTGGACCCAATCTTAATATTCAACACCGCACCATTTAGACCCAATCTTAATATTCAACGCCACACCATTTAGATCCAATCTTAATATTCAACGCAACACCATTTAGACCCAATCTTAATATTCAAAGCCGCGCCATTTGGACCCAATCTTAATATTCAACACCGAGCTATTTAGACCAAATCTTAATATTCAACACCGCGCCATTTAGTCCCAATCTTAATATTCAACACCACACCATTAGACCCAATCTTAATATTCAAAGCCGCGCCATTTAGACTTAATCTTAATATTCAACACCGAGCTATTTAGACCCAATCTTAATATTCAACACCGCACTATTTAGACAAAATCTTAATATTCAACACCGCACTATTTAGACCCAATCTTAACATTCAACGCCATACCATTTAGACCCAATCTTAATATTCAACTCCACACCATTTAGACCCAATCTTAATATTCAACGCCATACCATTTAGATCCCATCTTAATATTCAACGCCACACCATTTAGACCCAATCTTAATATTTAACACCGCACCATTTAGACCCAATCTTAATTTTCAACGCCACACCATTGAGACCCAAACTTAATATTCAACGCCACACCATTTAGACCCAATCTTAATATTCAACGCCACACCATTTAGATCCAATCTTAATATTCAAAGCCACACCATTTAGACTCAATCTTAATATTCAACACCGAGCTATTTAGACCCAATCTTAGTATTCAACACCGCGCCATTTAGACCTAATCTTAATATTCAACACCACGCCATTTAGACCCAATCTTAATATTCAACGCCACACCATTTAGACCCAATCTTAATATTCAACGCCACACCATTTAGATCCAATCTTAATATTCAAAGCCACACCATTTAGACTCAATCTTAATATTCAACACCGAGCTATTTAGACCCAATCTTAGTATTCAACACCGCGCCATTTAGACCTAATCTTAATATTCAACACCGCGCCATTTAGACCCAATCTTAATATTCAACGCCACACCATTTAGACCCAATCTTAATATTCAACGCCACACCATTTAGACCCAATCTTAATATTCAACACCGCACTATTTAGACCCAATCTTAATATTCAACACCGCACCATTTAGACCCAATCTTAATATTCCCCACTGCACCATTTAGACCCAGACTTAATGTTCATAGTCACACCGAATTAGACCCAGTCGGATTGTAGTTTGACAGTTCAAAGCCGCACCATTTAGACCCAGTCGGATTGCAGTTTGACAGTTCAAAGCCGCACCATTTAGACCCAGTCTGAATGCAGTTTGACTGTTCAAAGCCGCGCCATTTAGACCCAGTCGGAATGCAGTTTGACTGTTCAAAGCCGCACCATTTAGACACAGTTTTAATGTTCGACGCCAAGCCATGTATACCCCGTCTGAATGTTCAAAGTCACGTTGAACATTATGATTGGGTATAATGTGCATGGAGGATATCATCAGAGTGTATGATTATTTAAATAGTGTTGTCTGAAATGTTAGCATTAGGAGAGGAGAGTGGGAATGACAGATACTGTTTGGTTGACCTCAACTCGTGTCTGGACTTTGGACAACCTCACGCTTGATCACATCTTTCTGGTCATCTTATCCACGCTGGACCATGCTCAGGTCTACACAATTAAGTGGGAAAAAAGGAAATGGATAATGTTATAAAATGAATGCAGTGACAGGTTGAAAAAAAGGAAATGAGAAGAAATGCAGAGATCGGCTAAAATTTCAAGAGATACAATCCTGTTGAAAGTGACTTGAAGACAGTAACAGTTAAAATCGTAGGTGATTATGATGTCTTTAAAATGACAGGGCATCCGTGACTAGGCAAATTTTCAGGATATCAGTGACTATGATTTGGCAAAGTGACATGGTGTAACAGACCATGTTTGCACACGAAACCTTTAAGTCAGGGGGGTGGCAAGAGTTGAATAGTGAACTCTATTAACGTGTATTATTTCACGGGAAAAGAGAATAAAACTATATTTTGTACGACGGAAGTGAGCTGCAGGTTTCGGGTGACCACGGCAGTACCTCTCATGTCGAAGTGAAGACGTGGTTAACTTCTGTCATGTGAATTTTCTATCATGCCATGGAGTATTATATATTTATATATGTGTGAGATAATTGCATCCTGGATTCTATTACCTGGATATTTGTGCAAGGATTATTATTATTGTTGTAGAAAAGTGATATAATAAAGTACTGTGAATTTAACTGGAAAGTGATATCTACTTCTTGTGTGACAGACTGATAGACTTAAGGAGTGAAAGAGTGAAGTAAGCATTACATTACAAAAGCCGGCATCCTGAAGGCAGGAGGTAGAAGTAAAGGAGCTAACCATGCTAATATCCCAATAAAATAGCATGTGTTACACATGGCATCAGTGACTGGGCAAAGTGACATGGCATCAGTAATTTGGCAAAGTAACAAGGCATCAGTGACTGGTTAAAGTGAAATATCATCAGTGACTGGAGTAAATGCAAGGGAATTAGTGACTGGGCAAAGTGTCAGGAAATAAGTGAAAAGGGCAAATAGACATTAAATTTGTGACTGGGATAAATGACATAACATAAGTGACTCTGGGTAAAATTAAAGGGCATCAGTTAGTGGGCAAAGGTAAAGAATATCTGTGACAGGGCAAAGTGACAGGTAACCAGTGATTTGGCAAAATGACAGGCATCAATTGTTAACATTAAAGGGCCTTAGTGACTAGGCTAAATGAAAGAGCATCAAGGACGTGGAAAATAACAGGGCATCAATGATTGAGTAAATTTGGGGGCATTGTGAATGAGGCTAAATGACAGGGCATCAGTGACTGGTCAAAGTGACAGGACATCAGTGTTTGGGTACAACTAGAGTTTTAACCTGAGCATCCCCGCACCTGTTAGCATGCAACAGCCGTCATACCCTTGGCAACGGCTTCCACTAGCCGGGTAAATCAGCAGAGTATAACTGATGGGCCTCGAACCCTCGGTGATTAAGACTTCCTACCTACTGCATGCGAGGCCTGGGCGTCGAAGGATCCTTCGGAGGAGACCAGCAACGCATCATAGGGTGTGTAGAGCAAGATGAGGCACGTGGAACATCTTGGTAATCAACTGCATCCGTAACCAGCTCCGGTCATCTTGACTTAGTCTTGCCACAGGACAAGGTGTATCTGTACAAGAGAGTGAGGTTAACACTATGCAACTCTTCTTCACTTTCAACAAAGTCACCCACGCAAGTCATCAGACTCAAACGCCCATCATCTCAAGTCCTCTGGTGATGGCATGCTCTCCTAAATGCATGAATCAGTGTCTAGAATAGGTGCCCAAAACATGGCCTGCTCCCTCACAACCTTGCCTGCTAAAGGCATTCTGCGGTGACCCAATTTTCTTGGTAAAATCTAAGATAAAATCTTAAAAATCCCGCATGGAACATCCGCGCACTGCTTGACAGGGACACTAAAAATAGACGTCAATGACGCACAGTGCTCAGTTCCCATGAACTAACCTGATACAAGATAGACTTACCTCCCTAAGTGAAGCCAGACTCTCTTGCACAGCTGAACTAAAGAAAAAACTTTTTGGCTATTCTTTCTTCTCGGACGGATGCCACCCAGACGCAAGGCGAGAAGCTGGAGTTGGCTTTGTATCAAAACCTCTCTTGTGCGCAAGTTCAACAGCTCATCAATACGTATCAATGATTGTATCATGACGTTGAAACTCATCTTCAGCCATGGAAAGAAGCCTTCCACTTTAGTCAGTGCCTATGTACCCACCATGAAAAACACCGAAAAGACAATAGATACGTTTTATGAAGACCTGAACGCTGTTATCTCCTCCACACCGACAGTTGAAAAAAATATTATTCTTGAAGATTTCAATGCACATGTCGGCAGTGACATGGTTATTGTTTTGTTCATGTCGGCAGTGACACGGTTATTGTTATGTTCATGTCGGCAGTGACACGGTTATTGTTTTGCTCGTGTCGGCAGTGACACGGTTATTGTTATGCTCGTGTCGGCAGTGACACGGTTATTGTTTTGATCAAACCCTCTCTCCAAAAAATGTCTTATTTGCGTCTGCACAGTGATGATTGAAATAAAATTACCTCTTCCGTGTCTCGATCAGTTGCCATCCAATGTGACACCTAGCACAGTGATGATTGAAATAAAATCACCCCTTCTTGGCTTTGATCAGTTGCCATCCAATGTGATACCTAGCACAGTGAAGATTGAAATAAAATGACCTCTTCTGGGCCTTGATCAGTTGCCATCCAATGTGACACCTAGCACAGTGATGATTGAAATAAAATAACCCCTTCTGGGCTTTGATCAGTTGCCATCCAATGTGACACCTAGCACAGTGATGATTGAAATAAAATAACACCTTCTGGGCTTTGATCAGTTGCCATCCAATGTGACACCTAGCACAGTGATGATTGAAATAAAATCACCCCTTCTTGGCTTTGATCAGTTGCCATCCAATGTGACACCTAGCACAGTGATGATTGAAATAAAATAACACCTTCTGGGCTTTGATCAGTTGCCATCCAATGTGACACCTAGCACAGTGATGATTGAAATAAAATCACCTCTTCTGGGTCTTGATCAGTTACCATCCAATGTGACACCTAGCACAGTGATGATTGAAATAAAATAAACTCTTCTGGGACTTGATCAGTTGCCATCCAATGTGACACCTAGCGGCTGTGGTGATTACATTTTAGGAGCCCATTTGAATAACCTCGATTTGTAGTTACGAGATGGCGCATGGTGCCCTACATACATGTTTAAGTTAAGTTACCTACTGGAGACCGGACACTTGACAAGATGGATACGTGAGTCTCCGAACATTCACCACAACACACCCGGACAAATGGCATGTGTACAGACAATTAACACATAAACTATTGACCACACGGTCGAGATGATTCTTCATGAGTTTGTGTTTGTCTAAGAGAGAGAGAGCAATTTAGATAGAGATTGAAGGAGATATACATTTTTGAGAAAGAGAGAGAGAAAGAGAGAGGATTAAAATAAGGAAAGGGAGAAAAGTTTAAGAGAGAGGGAGTGTGAGTAAGAGATGAAGTGAGAGAGAACTTAGAGTGATTGAGAGAGAGAGGAAGATTGAGAGATATGATAATAGATAGAGAGAGAGAGAGAATGAGATAACCATAGAGGGAGTGAATGAGCGAGACGAAGTACTATCGAGAGTGGGTGAGAGAAAAATGAGAGAGAGAATGAGAAAGATGGTGAGAGATTGGGGTCGGGGGAGGGGTGGTTAGGAAGAGAGATAGTGAGAAAGAGATCTTTCTTGACATTGACTAGACCTCTGTCTATCCGTAAAGCTGCAGTACTATCACGATACTGCGAGATTTTGGCCCTTTTTCGTTTTGGCGGCACTTATGCTCTAATGTCTTGACCAGAAATAAAATCAATAATTTTCTTTTGTTATTTTAATAGAGCGATCCAAGACGGCGGCCATTATTTTATAATGGAATACTCGCAGTCCAAAACCAATACAACTATGTCGTCTGTTTGCGGCAAGATGTTGGTCATTTCATTTAAAAAATCAAGGCAACTCAAAGACATAAATGAACAAAACAAAGCATTGAGAAGCCATCTTGGATTTTTGATTGAAAAGATTTAAACATTAAATTTAATCGATATTGTCCGTGCTAATTGTACGTGTGTCCTGCCTGTACGTGCATCATAACTATACGGTAGTCTCGTCTGTACGTGTATCCTCCTTGTACGTGTGTGCTGACTATAACACATCATCCAGTTGGTCAGTGTGTGCTCTTTTAAGTCGAGTGATCAAAATCAGATGTTGACCGGTTGCGGCCCTTGATGTTCCCGCCCTGTAAGAAAATCTCCACCGTACCAATAAGAGGAGAGAAATGAAACATCAAGTAGATCTAGCGCGTGGAATGCACCGGATATCAACCCTACAAATAAAGCTTTCGGGGGCAGATTGCCAGCATCAGCTCACCTCTTCCTGTTCTTTTATTTCATTGAAAAGCAACACGAAAGGAATTGCAAGTGTCTAAAGATATTTAAATATCATTGACATTATTATAGTACATGGGTCAAAAGATAGTTAAATGTCATTCACGTTATTGAATTACATGAGTTTAAAGATATTTTAACGTGATTCTCTCTTACTCTATCCCTCTTACTTTCTTTCTCTTATTTAACTCTTTTATTTTCTCTCACTCACCCTTTCTATTGCTCTCTCGCAAATTTCCTTGACTTTCTCTCTCTCTCTCTCTTTTCCTCTCCACATATCTTTTTCCCACAATCTCATTTTCTCTTTAACACTCTCATTATTTCTCTGTCTCACTCGGCATCACTTCTTATTCTCAAATATTCACTCTCAAGCTCTCTCTCAACACCACTCTCAATCTCACTCTAACAATCTCTCTCTCAACACCACTCTCAATCTCACTCTAACAATCTCTCTCTCAACACCACCCTCAATCTCACTCTAACAATCTCTCTCTCAACACCAACCTCAATCTCACTCTAACAATCTCTCTCTCAACACCACCCTCAATCTCACTCTAACAATCTCTCTCTCAACACCACCCTCAATCTCACTCTAACAATCTCTCTCTCAACACCACCCTCAATCTCACTCTAACAATCTCTCTCTCAACACCACCCTCACTCTCACTCTAACAATCTCTCTCTCAACACCACTCTCAATCTCACTCTAACAATCTCTCTCTCAACACCACCCTCAATCTCACTCTAACAATCTGTCTCTCAACACCACCCTCAATCTCACTCTAACAATATCTCTCTCAACACCACCCTCAATCTCACTCTAACAATCTCTCTCTCAACACAACCCTCAATCTCACTCTAACAATCTCTCTCTCTCAACACCACTCTCAATCTCACTCTAACAATCTCTCTCTCAACACCACTCTCAATCTCACTCTAACAATCTCTCTCTCAACACCACCCTCAATCTCACTCTAACAATCCCTCTCTCAACACCACTCTCAATCTCACTCTAACAATCTCTCTCTCAACACCACTCTCAATCTCACTCTAACAATCTCTCTCTCAACACCACCCTCAATCTCACTCTAACAATCTCTCTCTCAACAACACCCTCAATCTCACTCTAACAATCTCTCTCTCAACACCACCCTCAATCTAACTCTAACAATCTCTTTCTCAACACCACTCTTAATCTCACTCTAACAATCTCTCTCTCAACACCACCCTCAATCTCACTCTAACAATGTCTCTCTCAACACCACCCTCAATCTCACTCTAACAATTTCTCTCTCAACACAACTCTCAATCTCACTCTAATAATCTCTCTCTCAACACCACTCTCAATCTCACTCTAACAATCTCTCTCTCAACACCACCCTCAATCTCACTCTAACAATCTCTCCCTCAACATCACTCTCAATCTCACTCTAACAATCTCTCTCTCAACACCACCCTCAATCTCACTCTAACAATCTCTCTCTCAACACCACTCTCAATCTCACTCTAACAATCTCTCTCTCAACCTCTCTCTCAAGTTCACATCTCTCAAGCTCTCTCTCAACCTCTCTCTCAATATCTCTCAGCCTCTATCTCAACAACTTTCTTAACCTTTCTCCCAACTTCTCTCTCTTAACCTCTCACTCAAATTCACATTGAAACTAACTCTCTCAACCCCCCTCTCTCTCTCTCTCTCAACTTCTCTCTTAACCCCGCTCTCAAACTTTCTCTCAATCTCTCTCTCACACATACTCTTTACGTTCTCTTTCTCTTTAATCGCACTCCATATCTCTTTCCACCTATCTCAATACACCTTTGACACTGCCATGATTGCTCTGTCTCACTCGTTGTAACTTGTCATTCTCAGATTCTCTCTCTATACCCTATATCAATGTCTCTCGCAACGTTTCTCTCAAATACTATCTCAAACTTTCTCTAAACCTCTCCTTTAACTTCTGTCTCTCTTTCCTCTCTCTCAAACTTTCTCTCTCTCATTCTCTCTCTCAATCTCTCTCAACCTCTCTCTAAACCTCTCTCTCAACCTCACTCTCTAAACCTTACTCTCTCAAGCTCTCTACCAACTTTTCATTCAAGATCTCTCTCAACCACTCTTTCAACCTCTCTCTCAACATCTCTCAATACAACTTTAACACTGTCACGATTGCTATGTCTCACTCGTCAGCACTTGTCATTCTCAGATTCTCCCTCTATAACCTCTCTCTGAACCTGTCTTTTAACCTCTCTCTAAAACTCTCTTTCAACATCTCTCTCAACCTCTCTCTAAACCTCTCTTCCTCTTAACCCCTCTCTCTCAAAACTCTCTCTCAATCTCTCTCTCAACCACTCTCTAAACCTCTCTTTCAACGTAAGTCTCAATACTCTCTATCAACCTCTCGCTCTCAACACCTCTCTCAAACTATCTCTCTCTCTCACCTGTCTCTCAACCTCTCTCTCAACATATCTCTCATTCTCTATCTCAAACTCTTTCGAAACCTCTCTCTCAACCTCATTCTCAATCTCAACTTCACTCTCTCAATCTTTCTCTCAAATCCTCTCTCTCAACATTTCACTCCCTCAACCTCTCTCTCTCTCAACCTCTCTCACTCTCTCAACTTCTCTCAACCTCACACTCTCAACCTCTCTTTCCTTAAACCTTTCTCTTTCTCTCACCCTCTCTCAATCTCGACTTTTACATTATTATAACTCATCATCACTTACACGTTCTTTTAATCTCTCTCTCTCTTCCACTCAGACTATTACACATCCCTCTCTCTCTCTCGTTCACTCTCTTTCAAACCTTTTATATCTCCCTCAAATCTTTCTTTCTCTCTAAATTGTTATCTTTCACACAAACACAAACACACATACACTCATTCAAAGTTACTGTTTACTTTAAAAAAAAGCGTTTCAATCACAATTTGATCCGCCATCTTTTGGAAACCCAAAGGACCAACTTTATTGACGGCACAATTTATGGGCTGAGTAAGTCACGTGATCAGGTTGGTGCATAATAGATTATATTGGTGTGTGGGGGATTCATTTGTTAATGTCATCAATGTTCTGTGTAGGCACTACCCTTGTGTGTGATCATTTGTCTGTGTGGACACTACCCTTGTGTGTGATCACTTGTCTGTGTAGGCACTACCTTGTGTGTGATCACTTGTCTGTGTATTCATCGATCTATGTGTTCACTTGTCTGCCTGTTCACCTGTCATGTGTTGGGATGTCTTGTGGTTATGGTCGTGGACTCACATGTACTGTTGTGAATGGGCCGGTCTTGTGTGGGAATTAACTGAAAAATGTTGCCTTCTGTTTTTACACGTGAACTACGTAGATATAACACACTTGTAGTAGTATTACAATAATCCACCCTAGTCCACCGAAAGTACAAAGTGCGTGTTACGACTTGAGAAACGTACCCAAAGGTTCCTCTATTTTTAGATTCAGTATGCCATTGAGCAAATTTAGGTATCATCCTCTCCCCTCCTATCATCAACATATTTCCTCAATCCAAGTAGTCCCCTCCTATCAACTTGACCCCTTCTATCAACTTGTCCACTGCTACCCAATTGTCCCCTCCTATTAACTTGTCCCCTCCTATCAACTTGTCCCCTCCTATCAACGTGTCCCGTACTGTCAACTTGTCCCCTTCTATCAACTTTTCCCCTCCTCTCCACTTGTCCCCTCCTATCAACTTGTCCCCTTCTATCAACTTGTCCACTGCTATCAACTTGTCCCCTCCTATTAACTTGTCCCCTCAAATCTCTTGTCCCTTCCTATCAACGTGTTCCGTTCTGTCAAATTGTCCCCTTCTCTCAACTTGTCCCCTTTTATCAACGTGTCAACTGCTATCAACTTGTCCCCTCCTATCATCTTGTTCCCCCATCAACATATTTCCTCAATCCAAGTAATCCCCTCCTATCAACTTGTACCCTTCTATCAACTTGTCCACTGCTATCAACTTGTCCCCTCCTATTAACTTGCCCCCTCATATCAACTTGTCCCTTCCTACCAACGTGTTCCTTACTGTCAACTTGTCCCCTTGTATCAACTTCTCCCCTCCTCTCCACTTGTCCCCTCCTATCAACTTGTTCCCTCCTATTATCTTGTCCCCTCCAATCATCTTGTTCCCCCATCAACATATTTCCTCAATCCAAGTAATCCCCTCCGATCAACTTGTCCCCTCCTATCAACTTGTCCCCTCCTATCAACTTGTCCCCTCCTATCCATTTTTTCCATCCAATCAAATTCTAGCACGTACACAAATCAATGAAACATGTACATAGGACACCTTGCGCCGTCTGATAGCTGCAAAAGGTAGTTATTCAAGTGGGTCACTCAATAGTTATTACCAAGGCAATTAGATGTCAAATTTAATTAAAACTTGAAAAGACCAGAATGGGGATTTTATTACTCTCATCACTGTGTAGACGCTCACAAGACATTTGAGTTTGAATAGGATGATCGGGACACTACATTAAAATTCGTTTGTATATAATTCAATCACAAAACACGCACCTAACATAGCGCTGTTCTTTGGCCGTGGAGATCTGATCTTGTGAAGAGAAAATTAAACCAACATGAACACTCTCTTGTGCTGGCTGATCTTGGCGACTGTCATTTCAACAGGTATTGTTACCAACCGCGAAATATGACTTAGTATTACTTTTTCAATTCCTATCAGCTTGTCTTATCTATCGACATGACCCCTCATATGATATTGTGTCCTCCTATCAGCGTGTCCCCTCCTATCTTCTTGTCCCCGACTATCAACTTGTCCCCTACTATCAACTTGTCTCCTTCTATCAACTTCTCCCATTTAATCAACTTTTCCGCTCATATCAACTTGTCCTCGCCAATCAAAAAGTCGACTCCTAACAACTATTCCCTCCTAACAACTTGTACCCTTCTATCAACATGTCCCCTCTTATCAACTATTTTTCTCTAATCATATTGTCCCCTCCTATGAATGGTCCCCTCCTATCAATATGTCCCCTCCTTTCAACTTGTCATAATTCATCAACTTCTCACCTGCTATCAACGTGTCCCAATCTATCAACTTATCCCCAACTATTAGTGTGTCCCCTCCTATAACCGAGTCCCACTTTTTCAATGGTGTCCTTCCTATCAACATTTGCCCTCTATCAATTTGTCCCTCCTATCAACTTTTCACCTTCTATAAACGTGGCCCCTTCTATTTACTTGTCCCATTCTACCATTGTCCTTGATAATCAACATTTTTACACATCAACTTGTCCCATTCTATCAACGTGTCTATTTCTAAAAAAATTTCTTCTCCTATCAACATGTTCTCTCCTATCAACATGCACCATCTTATCAATTTGTTGCCTTTATCAACTTATCCCCTCCTATTAATGTGTTCCCTCCTTTTAAGTTGTCTGCCTCTATCAACTTGACCCTTCCTATCAACTTGTTACCTCCTTTTAAGTTGTCTGCCTCTATCAACTTGACCCTTCCTATCAACTTGTCCGCTCCTATCAACCTTTTCCCCTCCTATCAATTTGTTCTTTCTTATCAACTTGTTCCCCCTATCACTAAGTCTCCTTTTATCAACTTGTACCCACCAATCAACTTGGCATCTACAATCAACTAGTTCCCCTATCAACTTTTACCATCCTAATAACTTCCCGCTCCCATCAAGTTTTTTCTTCAATGAAATTGACCCTCCTGTAAAACTTGTTTCCGCTAACGACTGTTCTTCTCCAATAAACTTGGTTCCTCTTATTAACATGTCTTTTTCGATTAATTGTCCGCTCCTTTCAACTTGTCACATTATATCAACTTGTCCCCTCCAATCAACGTGTCCTATACCATTAACTTGTCCATCCCATCAACTTGTCCCCTTTTATCAACTTTTCATCTCTAATCACATTGTCGAATACTATCAATTTGTCGTCCCTCCATCAACTTGTTAATCTTTTGACTTGTAGCCTCTTATCAATCTTTCCTCTCTTATCAACTTATCCCCTCCTATCAAATTGTCTCCTCCTATCAACGTGTCCCCACCAATCAAATGTCTTCTTTTATCAGTTAGTTCCCCCTTTCAACTTGTCTGCTTCTATAAACCTATCCCCTTCTATCAACTTGTCCCTTTCTATCAGCTTATTCCCCTATCAACTTATTTCTCCTATCAGCTTTTCCCGTTTTGTCATCATATACCCTCTTCTCATCATGTTACCCCAATCAACTTGTTTCCTCTGAACAGCTTGTTCCACCTTATCAACGAGTCCACTATTATCAGAGTGTCCCTCCTATCATCGTAATCCTTCCAATCAACTTGTCCCCTACTATCATCGTGTCCCCTCCTATCAACTTGTCCCTTCCAATCACTTGTCCCCTCGTATCCATTTTCCCATCCTATCAACTTTTCCCCGCTTCTAAACTGTTTCCCTCCTAACAACGTGTTCCTCCTATCAATGTGTCTCCTTCTATCAATTTGTCACCACCTATTAACTTGTCCCCTCCTCATTCAACAGTTTTAAAAAAACAAATGAACACCTTAATAAAAGTGTCATGTCCTATATTTTAACTGGCTGAAGCATACTAAGACGTCTCTACCTAGTCATTGAACCTCTTGTTCTTTTACCAGTCACATTAACACATGCCATTTACCCAGCCGCTGTGTTCCATGTAAGATTAGCGTGTCACTGTATACCATGCCATTGTATTTCAACTAGTTTGTCCAAAGCCTTTGACTTAGTCACTTCCTTCTGTGTCATGTTTACATGTCACTCTATCCCAAGTCATTTTACCCAATTATTATCTATCCCTCTATGCCAAGCTAGTTTTTTCACTACTTATTGCGTCTTCCGTCAATTTACCCAGTTACTCTGTCCCATGTCATTTTGACCAATTAATATGTCCACCTATATCTTTGCGAGTCAAAATTATTATCAGTTCGCTGTGTCCCCTGTAATTTCTAAAAGTAACTGGCCGATGTCATTTTTTTACCTTTTTATGGTATCAATTGCCATTTTATCTAGCAAATTTGCCAAGCCATTTTTCCAGATCCTTTTGCCAAATCATTTTGCCCAGTCACTGATGCACTGTCATTTTGCCCAGTTACTGATGGCCCGTCATTGTTTACGTCATTGATGTCCTGTCACTTTGCCCAATGACTGATGCCATTTCACGTTGTCCCAGTCACTAATGCTCTGTCATTTTTCCCAAACTGATAGTCTGTCACTTTGACCAATCATTGATGCCCTGTAAATTTGCACTGTCACTGATGACCTGTCATTTTTTCCAATCATTGATATACTTTCATTTTTCCTGTCACTGATGCCCTGTCACAGATTGCTTGTCAATTTTCCCGACTCACTGATGCCATGTAATTTTCCCAGTCACTGATGCCCTGTTACTTTGTCCAGTCACTGATGACCTGTGAATTTTCCTCGTCAGTGAGGCCCTGTAAATTTGCCCAGTCACTGATGCCCTGTCATTTAACAGATTATCAGTATCTCTTTTGATTTAACTATTTCTTTCTTCACGTCACTTTAACCAGTGCTGTATCTCTTGAAATGTTAGCTTATCTCTGTATTCTTTACGATATCAGTCTGTCATCGCATTCATTTTATAACTTGTACTTTTCCGTTTTTCCACTTGATTTTGTAGGCCTGGGCATGGTTATGCTGGAACCAAATGAAGGGAATGATGTGGTCCGACGTCAAAAAGCCGGGTAAGTGAACTAAACATTATCCTCCAGTCCCACTTTTATATCGTAATGCTAACATTACAGACAACACTATTTAAATAAGTATACACTCTGGTCATATCCATCTAGTATATTAAATTTTTTTTATTTCTATCTCAAATTTGCTCAAAGTTTAAATTTAGCTCAAGTTGAAATTTCGGAAACATTTAGTAATGTAAATTGTATATATTTTTCATTTAAAAAAAAACAAAAAAACTTCTGGATCTTTTTTATTAAAACAATAGTGCGGCCGAAACTAAACAGAAAATCGAACTTCTTAAAAATAAAATCTATTTGAAATTCAATTCTTATAATCTCAAAAATGGAAAGATATTTTTACGCACTGTCTTATATTGGGAGAAATTAATCTCCTATTTTAATTTTAATTGGCTTGTTGTAAGCAATGCCTAACAAAGGACGATACCATAGAGTCAACAATATTAAAGATACGAAACCCAAAGAGGTTTCTAGTTACAATTAATAAGATTTATTAAGTCTTAAGATAATTACAAAAGAAAAGAAAATATAATGACAATCTTCAACTTTCAGTATGGCAGATCTTGTACCGGTACACAGTTAATACAGTTTGACTAATGTGCCAATGAATAATGATAAAGTGCGAAATAAACACATATGAGTAATAGCACACAAATAAACAAAGAATAATACACGCCTCGTAAAGTTAATAATATCTATCTGAATCTCCGTCCCTCCGCCCTTGCCTGTCAAATTATATAGGTCGCGTAAGCCCTGCCTTCCAGAAAACGTATGACGTTTCTAGAACAATCACATTCATTCGACAAAATACCACTTGGAACAGATTAATTATTTTTAGTAGCTTGCGGCATAAACACGAATAGATCAAATGACTAAGCCACACCCCTCTGTGAACACAGCGTCTCATGCGGGGTCAATCAGAGGGTACGCACGAGAAAAATTATGTAAACAAGCTCTCTATAACAATATAGATACGTTTTCATCAAGATGGCGGTGGCCTTGGAAGTTTTAATTACGGCTTTAGTAAACTCGCAATTTAAAATGTATCTTGTATATATTTTGCTTGTGGTGTGACTGCTTACATTTACGGTTAGCGCGCAAAATATAATTACCGATGAATGCACAAATTTTATTTTTAATGTTACGCAACTGCGTTTGTTAAGTAATTTTTTTACTTGTCGGAAAATGAAATCATCTCAATTTAAATATGTAGTAAGAGATACTTACTTAAAAAGTGTTTGGGACATTATTGAACAACTGTTCATCCCCTACAATCAGACTCTCACTTCTCTGTTGAATACATATGACCCAGCGTCAAATAAGTTGGTTCACTACCGCGGTTCAGAAAACCACGTTTTTAAAGGTCTAGCTGAAAAGCCGTGAAGAAGAAGTGGTCGTGAAGTAAAAAAAAATTGTTTCTGAAAGAAACAAATCTTGCATACCAAGTCTGAGCATGTTCAGTCACTAAGTATGACAGCAGGTCCTGACTCTCGCAAGATGTTCTCTGTGGTGAATTGCGTTCTCGTGAAGAAAGCAGGACCCCTTGTTTTGCCTGACATGAGAAGCGAACACGCTGCAGTTAAACTGAGCAATTTCTTCACTGACAAATTGAACAAAATCAAAAAGAGCTTTTGGGAATGTTGTGATTTGTCTGCAGTGGAGAATGTTTTCGAAGGCACCCATATGGAGGAAGTCTTTCCCATGAACATTTAAAAAAATATTATCATGATTTTTAGCTCTGGATCTTCTATTGTTGACCCCATCCCTACCAAGATTGTTTTGGACTGTCTGGATGTCTTGCTTCCTGTATTGCTAAACATCGTGAATATTAGCCTTCAGTCTGCCACAGTACCACGTTTCTTCAAGGCGCGTTCATTAAGCCTCTGCTTAAAAATGTGGTCTAGACCCAAATGACTGCAATAATTTTCGCCCGTTCTCCAATCTGCTCTTTGTATCTCAGATTCTTGAGAGAGTTGTGTCACAAGAGCTTGTGCATCTTCTAATCACTTATGACTTGCTTGATAAGTTTAAATCTGCATATTGACCTGGACACAACTGTGAGAAAGCACTGCTCCGTGTCATGAATGACTTGCTATGGTGTGCTGACCACGGCGATCTGACACTATTGGTCTATTGTGACCTCAGTGCCATGTTTGATGTGATTGACCATGAGCTTTTTCTGTTAAGACATCTGAATGGGGCGGTCATATCTTAAAACGCACTACGCTGATTTTCTTCTTATCTGACAGGACTCAGCGTGTAGGAGTTAATTAAGAATCGTTCATGGACACTTCCTCTACCTGTGGACTGCCACAGAGCATAGTTTTAGAACCTATTCTGTTCTCCATATACATGTATTCCTTTGACTGTGCAGCTGCTGTTCAGGCTGTCAAAGACGGCATTTTTAAGAATTGGCGTCAGCGGGCCGTCGAGCTTGCGCTCTTTATGCCCTCCCAAAACACCCCTCCCCAACCCGGTATCGGGCCGCGGAGCGGCTCGTCGGTGATGTCTCTTTGTCAGGACAGCCCCCACCCAAGTCTGCTCGACCAGGTCTCCGCCGGGGGCCGTCCTAACCCAAAGACACCCGGTCGGTCCAACACTGTGTTATTTCGCACAGGGCACACGCTCGACTTTTTCAGGAGTTGGAATGGAAAATTGTACGTCCTAATATCTTCCCCCACCCATCCCGGGGAAGCATTAGACGTCCTATAAGAGGGATTCTACAGTGGGTTTCCACAACGCAACTAATTCGTAATTTTTAGTAGCTTATATTTATTTTATATAAATGATAACTAAATTATAACAATATTACGTATAAAATGGAATAAAAAAAAGTTGCTTTTATGTCAATGAAGAATTAACTGTTTCTGCTTTTTAAAAAATCTTTCTTCGGTCAACCTTCCCGCTATAGAAGCAGAAGACGAAACAAAAAACAACTTGAAATGAGTTATGAACATTAGCGCTGTTGAAACTTGAACAAAATGCTTGTATGTTGTTTTGTCTGAAACTTTCTGGGACTTTGTGTGTGTGTGTTTTGTACGAGCTATAACTAGTAAATGGGAAGTTAACGCATTCTTGTCACTAATGTTTGGTGAGCTATAACAAGTAGATGGAAACTTCTAGCATTGCTGTCACAAAAGTTTGGTGTGCTAGAATTAGTAGATGGAAACTTCTCGCATTACTGTCACAAAAGTTTGGTGTGATATAACTAGTAGATGGGAAGTTCATGCATTTCTCTCGCCAATGTTTGTTGAAATATAAAAATATACAGTAACTTCATGCATTGCTGTCGCCAATGTTTGGTGCTATAATTGGTTGAATTGAAGTTCACGAATTGTTTTCGCCAATGTTTGGTGTGCTATATTTAGAATATGGTAAATTCTCGAAATGCTGTCCGCATTGCTAGGCACTATAACTAGTAGATGGGATGTCCCCGAATTGCTGTCACCAATGTTGGACGAGCTTTAACTACTTTAATAGTTGGTATGAAAGGGGCGCTCAAGAGACGTTAGAACATCTTTAGAAGGAACATTTTCGTCTCGCTTTCCTTTTGTGCATGTCTTTTAAATAAAGATTTATCATTACAAAGAACAATGTGGTCTCATATAAACGTCATATAAATCAAACATAAATTTGTAGATTAGACACTTTTTTTTTAAAATATAACGTTTGACTTTTATTATAAAATTAAAACTCAATAAACATTACCCAAGTTTCACAAAACCTTAAGCAAACGTTAAGCAAACCTTCACCAAATTTCTCCAATCTTTTACCAAACTTTTACCAAACTTTCACGAAACCTTTACCAAACTTACATCACATTTTCATTAAATCTTCAAAAAATCGTTACCAAATTGTTACTAAACTTTTACCAAACTCTCAGGCAAACTTTCAGCAAACCTCCACCAAACCTCGACTAACTAACGCACATATTCTGGTGAAGGTCTGAGATTACTCTCTTATGACCCCGGCTAGTAAATTGGCTATCAACTCCATCTGTTGAGCTGAGCCATACAACATGTCCCTCACAAAGGATCCTCCAACCGCCCTGGCTTCCCCTGGGAGATCTAGTGCGGGACACTCCGTCAACAGATGTTCTAAGGTCTCCGGGGCCAGGCTGCAGTGCCGGCAGGTAGGATCTCTGTTGTTGTCCAACCTCCAGAAGTATGTGCGCAGGGGGCAGTGCTCGGTGCGCATCTGCGTAACTAAACTCTGCACTCTACGACCTAACCCCCACCATGGGTCTTGTTTGCTAGGAGTAGGCAAGTTCGAATAGACGCCTCTGGCGGTCGTGTTGTCAGCCCATTGCCTGTACCACTTCTGCCTGAAGTGGTCCGCCAGCCAGTTTTTGACTCCCAAGAAAGTCATTGGTACTTCTGATCCCTCACAAAGGATCCTCCAACCGCCCTGGCTTCCCCTGGGAGATCTAGTGCGGGACACTCCGTCAACAGATGTTCTAAGGTCTCCGGGGCCAGGCTGCAGTGCCGGCAGGTAGGATCTCTGTTGTTGTCCAACCTCCAGAAGTATGTGCGCAGGGGGCAGTGCTCGGTGCGCATCTGCGTAACTAAACTCTGCACTCTACGACCTAACCCCCACCATGGGTCTTGTTTGCTAGGAGTAGGCAAGTTCGAATAGACGCCTCTGGCGGTCGTGTTGTCAGCCCATTGCCTGTACCACTTCTGCCTGAAGTGGTCCGCCAGCCAGTTTTTGACTCCCAAGAAAGTCATTGGTACTTCTGGCTGAGGCTGGGCTGCCCCGGTTTTCGCCAGAGTGTCAGCTATCTCATTGCCACTGATGTTGACATGCCCTGGTATCCATTGCATTTCACTCTTGCACCCTATTTCATCAAGTCTGCATATGTCGTTGTGAATGACGTCGACCAAGCTTGTGGTACCCTGTCTCTTCTCCAAGATCTCAAGAGCGGATCTATTTGGGGGCAGGGGGATTGTCCTCTCCAGCTCCACGACCTGGTGCATGAAAGAGGACCTCTTTAGTCTCCTGCCACCCACCCAGTTATTTTGCATTTGAAAGGCTGGTTCATTTTCACCGAGCCGTCGGTACCTCTCTACGGTATTTAAGATGGATTTTTCCCTCCTAATTTGTAGCGGTTCTACATTGGCCAAGACTTCTACAGCAGCTGTGGGAGTAGTCCTGTATGCGCCACAGATGAATCTCAGTGCCTGATTCTGGATTCGGCCCAGTTTTTCCAATGCGGTCTTGCTTGCAAAGGATTGGACCGGCATGCTGTAGTCCATCACCGACCTTACACTGCTTAGAAAGAGAGCTCTAAGCGTACTTGCGTTCGCGCCCCAACTTGTGCAAGCCAATTTTTTCACCAGGTTAAGCTTGGCGGTCGCCTGGGAGCAGAGGTCCTGTACAAAATTGTGCATTTGTACCTTTTGGTCCAGCTTAACTCCCAAGTAGACCGGTTGTTTGTCCCACTTTAGCGCTACATCGCCCACCTTGAGCTCGATCTCCTGTTTGAGAATGGTCCGCCCATTTGTGAACAGTGAATAGACCGTCTTCTCGGTGTTAATTTCCTGATGCCACCGCCGCATGTACCTGTTGATAGCAGAGAGGTCCTGCTGTAATAGCGTTTGCAGGCGGTGGACATCCTTACCGGTGCTCCAAATTACCAAATCGTCCACATACATGGCAGAGCTAGTCGTTAGCACCTGTGGCAGGTCATTGATGTAGGCAAGGAAGAGGGTGCAACTGAGGGCAGACCCTTGCGGGAGTCCTTCCTCAAGTGTCCTCTTCCTGGAGGTTTCACCGCCGAATTTCGTGTTTATCGTCCGGTTTGTGAGGAAACCGGAGATCCACCTGTACATGTTCGCGGTTACTCCCAACGCCTGCAGTTTCAACAATAGACCGGACCTCCAAACTCGGTCGTAGGCTTGTTTGAGGTCGAAAAATACTGCCACTGTATGGGATTTCTTTTGGAGCCCATCTGTTATGGACTGGAGAAGACGGAGCACTTGGTCCACAGGCTGCATTCCCTTGCGGAAGCCCGCCTGTATTGGGCTGAGACTCTTAGTGCTCTCCAAGTGCCAGTAGAGTCTCTGGTTGACCATTCTCTCGGCCACCTTCCCTAACATCGATGTCAGGGAGATCGGCCTGTAGCCATCAGGTTTATCGAGTTTCTTCCCTTCTTTGGGAATAGGGACAATGGTAGCGCTTAGCCAAGCTTTGGGTAGGATTCCCGTTACCCATGTTCTGTTGATAATTTCCAATAGCGTTGTCCTTGCTATTGGGCCAAGGTTTTTTATCATTTCGTTGCAGATTTTGTCCTGACCTGGTGCCTTGGCGGCGTCACACTTGTTAATGGCGGTTTGCAATTCGGCCAAAGTGAAAGGTGCGGTGAAAACTTCAGCATGCGGCCCCCACTTCTGGGCCACTTCTCCATTTCGCCGGAGACGGTTAAGGTTCTGGCTCTCTCTGGTCTCTTTCTGCTTCCGATTTATCTTTGCAAAATGCTTGTTTAAGGCATCGGCACTTTTGGCATCTGTGGTAGCCGTGCCTGTCGTCGTTTGCAACGGTCGCAGATTCCTGATTTTTCCCGTGCAGGATAATGAGTCCATCAATCGCCAGACCTTTTTGCCGTCTTTCAGGTCGAGTTTTCCACATGAACTAACCCATTTTTCCTTTTTTGCCCTATCGACCTCCCGCCGGACCTCTGCCGTCAGTTTATTGTAAGCCGCTCGAGCAGCGACCGTCTTCAACTTACCGGCTTTGGTCCGGGCTCTCTTTCGTTCACGGACTAACTTTGCCAAATTCTTA